ACTTGAATCACATCCTGAAGTTGGCTGCCACTCAGGATGTGACGCCTGATATTGATGCGCTGGTGAAAGCTAAAAGATGCCAGGTATCAGGAGTCAAATAAACTATGCAACCCCACTTAAAGTGCTGCATGAGACACCCTGATATAGTTCTGTGATCTGTGATATACTTCTGTGAATCACTGAGGCATTGTGTGTTTGTATGTTGTTTGTCCTCAGAATTTCAAATAGCTTGAGGTGTTTTATGATTAATAGTGATGTTGTGCTTTTGGACACACTGTCCTCAGGCTCCAGCTTTATGTTTTTATGTTGATGTGCTATTGTTTTTAATTGATTTTATTTTATTTGTATATTTAACCTATTCTTGACTCTGTGGTTCTTGCACTTGTTTGGGGAACAGGATTTCATTATTTGTATCTACATTTCTGCCTGAGAAATGACACCCTGATATAGTTCTGTGATCTGTGAAACAGTTCTGTGAATCACTGAGGCATTGTGTGTTTGTGTGTTCTTTTTCTTTAGAATTTTCAAATAAACTTGAGGTGTTTTATGATTAATAGTGATGTTGTGCTTGTACTATTTTGGACACACTGTCCTCAGGCTCCAGCTTTATGTTTTATGTTGATAGTATTAAAACAAAGAAAACTATCTGAAGTTGTTGTTTTTAAGTTATATATACCATGATTTTACCGGTCCGGCCCACTTGGGAATAGATTTTCCTCCATGTGGCCCCTGAGCTAAAATGAGTTTGACACCCCTGGGCTAAACAGTATATTGTCTATGCTTGTTCCTCTCTAACCCCATTCTGTTCGTGAAGGTGAAGGTACAGATCTATATTAAAAACAAAAATAAGCTGACTAGTAGATACTACATTTAAAACACTTCACTTTCGTTTTTCCAGAAAAGAAACTCAAGATACAGATAAATCCAGGATAAGCAATGTGAAGCATTGCCCAGCTGTTACTCATTAGAGTAACAGCAGGGTAGTCATAGAAATATAATCTTGTCGTTGTGTTTCTATGCTAGCAGCAGCATCCCAGGGAGGCCCATAATACAATGGCAGAGCCATAACAGTCCAGGCTAAAACCATTGTTATTCACAGTACAGGGAGGGAGGCAGCAAGCTGGCAACATCCCTGAACGAGACGCAAAACCCCAAGGCACTGTAGACCTCACCTTCTAACTTCATTCATTGCGTTCTGACCGATGCGCCATGGTGACAGTAGAACTCCAGAACTAGGCTTCCTATAGAAAGCAACCTCAGTCATGTAGTCCTTCCTTCATTTTAGGATATTTGCATTTAGCTACATGTGAGCCCACTGAGATTCACAGTACAGGGTGGCACACAGGCAGACAACATCCCCGGAATGATCCGCACACTCCCAAGGAGGAGGAACTCTGCATTTAGTCCACTTCAGGTGACTGACAGATTTAAGTTCAGCCTGTGGTAAATATAGAGCTAATGACCCTGTGAGCTGCTGCTAATCCGGACCCATCCGGCACCAGACAGGGGATGACATCATCGTCAAGATGACCCAGGAGTCATCCACACCGCCACCGATTCCAGGAGTCATCCGCACCGCCACTGATTCCAAGGAGCACAGATCTGGGGAATGGTACTAAAAAATGTATGCAGCATTGAAGGTCCCCAAGAACACAGTGGCCTCCATCATTCTTAAATGGAAGAAGTTTGGAACCACCAAGACTCTTCCTAGAGCTGGCCGCCCGGCCAAACTGAGCAATCGAGGGAGAAGGGCCTTGGTCAGCGAGGTGACCAAGAACCCGATGGTCACTCTGACAGAGCTCTAGAGTTCCTCTGTGGAGATAGGAGAAACTTCCAGAAGGACAACCATCTCTGCAGCATTCCACCAATCAGGCCTTTATGGTAGAGTGGCCAGACGGAAGCCACTCCTCAGTAAAAGGCACATGATAGGCCGCTTGGAGTTTGCCAAAAGGCACCTAAAGGATTCTCAGACCATGAGAAACAAGATTCTCTGGTCTGATGAAACCAAGATTGAACTCTTTGGCTTGAATGCCAATCATCACGTCTGGAGGAAACCTGGCACCATCCCTACGGTGAAGCATGGTGGTGGCAGCATCATGCTGTGGGGATGTTTTTCAGTGGCAGGGACTGGGAGACTAGTCAGGATCGAGGGAAAGATTAACAGAGCAAAGTACAGAGAGATTTTTGATGAAAACCCACTCCAGAGCACTCAGGACCTCAGACTGGGGCGAAGGTTCACCTTCCAACAGGACAATGACCCTAAGCACACAGCCAAGACAACGCAGGAGTGCCTTCGGGACAAGTCTCTGAATGTCTTTGAGTGGCCCAGTCAGAGCCCGGACTTGAACCCGATCGAACATCTCTGGAGAGACATGGAAATAGATGTGCAGTGACGCTCCCCATCCAAACTGACATAGCTTGAGAGGATTTGCAGAGAAGAATGGGGTATTGTGTGTAAATTGATGATGGATATTTATTTTTTTTAATCAATTTTAGAATAAGGCTGTAATGTAACAAAATATGGAAAAAGTCAAGGTGTGTGAATACTTTCCGAGGCCTAGAATAGGACCTGTCTAGAATTTAACAGATATACCAGTATCCATGTGCATTTGTGCAGTGGTGCTTTGTGTGATACTTCATATTCCAATTGGTTGAAATTATAAATAAACTTTGAGAATTAAAAGGTAATGTTACCTACCTGCCAGACTCAGAACCATATTACTTTGCTACTTGAGGTAGGCAAAGTGTTTAAGTTTGTATGTAGGCCTACTACTTACAGTAGGGTCTGCCCAAGGTGAAGTAAATAAATTAACTAAACTCAATTAGCACCCATGTTAATTTGATTATTTTATTTCTATTTGATTGAAAGTGAAATGTAAGGTCCTCAACATCCAAATAGGGCATAAATTAACCAAACAGAGCTCTGGTCCTATACAGTATCCAATATAAAGTATGTGTGCTTTAAGGCCTCATTAGTACGTCAGAGCTTCACTGTGTTTACTAAATTTTAGGGTGACCATAATCTTAATCTACTCCAGAACCCTACTTGTAACGGATCTCAACCGAACCAACAGAGGTCTTACTTGATTAGGTTTGTTAAATGCGCTAATCGGATAGTTTGAATTTAATGTCTTGCTTAAATTGAACATGTCATTGTAGGTAATATGCACTAATCGGATAGCATATCAAATACTGCAACATTAAATGCTCCCTAGTTAAATGTTATGTCTATGGGCCTATGTCATGTTGGCAATGTAACCAGACCTACACAAAACCAATCACTGAAATTGAGGAATGAGAATCGAGAATATAATGTAATTTGCATCCCAAATGGCACCCTATTCCCTATATAGTGCACTACTTTGACCAGTGCACTTTGTAGGGAATAGGGTGCCATTTGGGAAGTAAAATAGCCTAAAGGTCAGATGGTCTGTTAATTAACTGACCACTATAAAGTGGTTGTGATGGAAAGCTATTATACAACTTACTTCCCTCAGATTGGGTCGTTTAATTCTGTGAAAATCATGTTATTTATGTATCGGTATATTTATCCTACTGCGAATAAGTTTGGAAAAAGAAATTGTCAATAGAATAGGTCCTAATACTTCTCAGAAATTCCTGTCCTCGACCTGTACCATAGAGGGCGTGCATCCCGCATCTGACAAACCAGAGGGGGGGGGGGGGGGGGGGGGGGGGGGGGGGGGGTTCTCATTCATAATGAGGCGCGGTCAACGATAGTAGGCGTTCCACAAAGCTAGAAACCAAGCACATTGTTGTTCATTCACTACGGACTGCGCTTGATTGGAACAGCACCGTCTTATTTTGCCGAGTGCTCGTATTTGTTCTTTCTGTTTTGAAGCTATTGCTTGCATAACTAAATTTATTGAGTAAACAACCTTCTCGAACGCATAGATATTTTCCAAAGTTTGTTTTGTCAGCATCCTCTCCACTCCATAATGGATTTGGTCTGGAGCCTGTCCTTCGTTGGGAGTCTCTGCACTTGGTTTGCTTCTGCAGAAAGGCACAGTGTATATTGGAATAGCACAAACACCAAGTAAGTTCAACTTTTTGTGGTCGCTTAAGTTTTTTTGTCATTCTATTTCAATACTGTTCATTTGTAACAGTTTTGAAAATCCGATTCGCAAGTGCAACAAGGTAATACAATGTATCGGCAGCTGTGATTGTTACTTGCATGATTTGCTGATATGATTATCGGCTAGCTAGTCTATGCTCAACAATGTTTATATCTGTGCATATCAATGACTATGGAATAGCCTATACCTTTTAATGAACCGCATTAATGTGATTGTTAGGGTATTTAAATGCATTATGTGGTTGTAGCCTACTTCCTCAACTGGTTTACGTTCTGATTCTACTGAATCTGATGCAGATGCATATGCAGCTGGCCAATGTTGTTGTCATTATAATGCAAGACAGTTACAGTATCTTCTTGGTCACTGGCTTCACTACTGCCTGAGGGGAAACTTTTTTTTATCTGTAATTCCTTGTATAACCTGGTCAATTTATCTGTGTCACAATCTGTCTGTCTACCCTTGGAGTGAGTTGGTAGTTACACATAGTTATACGATAAATCTGATTTATTGATAGGCTACCATCTAAATTACACCACTTTCAAGGACATATGGTATGGATTGGGAGGTGCGTTATTATTAGCACCACCTTTACACCAAGACTAGCAACTATGAGTTATTAAGCTTGTGTAATATCTATGTAATAATCAGCAATAATAATAAAATGTCCTATTCAAAGTCCCAACCACACTAACAGTAAATTATATTCCACATTCCATTGTATCAACAGATATCACATTTTAAATGGGTATGCCTATCTTTACCCAAGACCGTGGTAGTAAATATCGGTTGCAAACCCATCCCTACTGATGCCGTTGATATCTCCATCTTCCATTTTCATTAGGCGTGTCAGTCTGTCCACTAAATCACTGGATATATGATGGGCTGACGGGACAGGACAGGGGACATATGACGGTTCATATTTCAGATGGTAAGATGAGGAATAATGGTGTATGACGGAGACAGAGGATGTAACTTGAAGCCTGCCCAGTAGGTCATATTGTGGGAGTGAGATGGATAGCTAGGGAAGGAGAGATTGGAGCCCAAATTGTTGGGGTTTGGAGTCCACTCTGAATAAGTGGAGGTCAATTAGAGTTATGGTGGTTGGGTTGGGGTGAAAAGTTGGGATGTGTGGGAGGGTGAGATTGAAACACACATTCTCACTCTGGCACAAACTCACTCACTCAATCACACACACACAAACAAGACAAACGCCCAATCAATCACAGCAAGGCATACACTCTCACTTGTATGCAAACACGTCCCGTCTTGTAGACACACTCACACATACAGTACCAGTCAAAAGTTTAGACACACCTACTCATTAAAGGGTTTTTCTTTCTTTTTGACATTGTAGAATAATAGTGAAGACATCAAAACTTTGAAATAACACATATGGAATCATGTAGTAACCAAAAAAGTGTTAAACAAATCAAAATATATTTTATGTTTGAGATTCTTCAAATAGCCACCCTTTGCCTTGATGACAGCTTTGCACACTCTTGGCATTCTCTCAACCAGCTTCACCTGGAATGCTTTTCCAACAGTCTTGAAAGAGTTCCCACATATGCTGAGCACTTGTTGGCTGCTTTTCCTTCACTCTGCCGTCCGACTCATCCCAAACCATCTCAATTGGGTTGAGGTTGGGGGATTGTGGAGGCCAGGTCATCTGATGCAGCACTCCATCACTCTCCTTCTTGGTAAAATAGCCCTTACATAGCCTGGAGGTGTGTTGGGTCATTGTCCTGTTGAAAAACAAATGATAGTTCCACTAAGCCCAAACCAGATGGGATGGCGTATCGCTGCAGAATGCTGTGGTAGCCATGCTGGTTAAGTGTGCCTTGAATTCTAAACAAATCACTGACAGTGTCACCAGCAAAGCACCCCCACACCATAACACCTCCTCCTCCATGCTTTACGGTGGGAACTACACATGCGGAGATCATCTGTTCACCCACACTGCGTCTCACAAAGATGCGGCGGTTTGAACCAAAAATCTCCAGTTTGGACTCCAGATCAAAGGACACATTTCCACCGGTCTAATGTCCATTGCTCGTATTTCTTGGCCCAAGCAGGTCTCTTATTATTATTGGTGTCCTTTAGTAGTGGTTTCTTTGCAGCAATTCCACCACGAAGGCCTGATTCACACAGTCCCCTCTGAACAGTTGATGTTGATGTGTCTGTTACTTGAACTCTGTGAAGCATTTATTTGGGCTGCAATTTCTGAGGCTGGTAACTCTAATGAACTTATCTTCTGCAGCAGATCCTCATGAGAGCCAGTTTCATCATAGCGCTTGATGGATTTTGCAATGGCACTTGAAGAAACTTTAAAAGTTCTTGAAATTTTCCAGATTGACTGACCTTCATGCCTTAAAGTAATGATGGACTGTCATTTCTCTTTGCTTATTTGAACTGTTCTTGCCATAAAATGGACTTGGTCTTTTACCAAATAGGGCTATCTTCTGTATACCCCCCTACCTTGTCACAACACAACTGATTGGCTCAAACGCATTAAGAAGGAAAGAAATTCCACAAATTAACTTTTAAGAAGGCACACCTGTTAATTGAAATGCATTCCAGGTGACTACCTCATGAAGCTGGTTGAGAGAATGCCAAGAGTGTGCAAAGCTGTCATCAAGGCAAAGGGTGGCTATTTGAAGAATCTCAAATATAAAATATATTTTGATTTGTTTAACACTTTTTTGGTTACTACATGATTCCATATGTGTTATTTCATAGTTTTGATGTCTTCACTATTATCCTACAATGTAGAATATAGTAAAATTAAAGAAAAACCCTTGAATGAGTAGATGTGTCCAAACTTTTGACTGGTACTGTACACAGATATTCAAATTCATACAGTACTAAACTCAGTTTATCTTGCTGTGATGCATGGAGATTTCCCATAAGGCCATGCCACTGCAATCATTGTTCTCAGAAACACATCCATGTCATAATCTCAGAGAATGAAGTTACTAGTCCCAGATGTAAGCGTGCTATGTCAATGCAGTGACAACAATGATCATCATTTCTGCAAATAAACGAGTAATCCCCATGCTTGCTATTTTTACTGGATATCTGAACTAAATCTCTCCCTCTGGCTGCACTTAATCCCACATTCGCAGAAATAAAGGAGAGTTCGGGAGAGAGATGTTTTTTTTCTCATGAATTCTCGTTTTTTTTCTCATTAATTCTCCTTTTCTTTTCTTGGTTTTCTCTCAATCTGTTTTTTTTTCCCCTCCCACCGTTGCTTGATAAGCCTACTGTTGTTGATTTGTTCATGTCTCTCCATCAGTCCTTTTTGGGTCGACGCCCTACCCCTCTCCCCCAGTTTGTGTGGCCGATCAATCAATGGTCTTGATTAGAAAGCTATAGCTAATCTAATTTACAAGAGACTTATCATCTTGGTCAGTTAGGTGGAAATGATTTACCCTGTCTGCTTCCCTATGGAATAAACAGTGTGTGTGTGTGTGTGTCAGTTACATATGCCCTACTATGCATTGGTGGGTACTATGTGTGTGCCTTGGGCCATGTTGACTGCAAGGTTGATGCTGCCTGTGAGCGAGTTACCGCTGTGTTTCTGTCCAACAGAGATCTGTTTCTGGCTAGGTTGTTGTTGTGTGTGTGTGCGCCCAGGGTTCTGAAGTGCGACCAATTTCGTCACATACAACAAAATATTTTGCTGTGCGACCAGGAGTTTTATTTTAGGAGCACTGTGCGACTATGAAAAAAAATCTCCCAGATAATAATTGTTGTAATGATAAGGGTTCCCTGTACCGTTGTTTCCGAGTGCCCTAGACAAACTAGCGAGTGCAGATTTGTTAGCGTCATGGCTGCACCATTACTACAACGAAAAACGCTTGCTTCTAGACTAGACCAACCAGGTCAAAAGATCTGACCCATATTACCAGCGCAACATTTTTATCTTCCTATAGCGGAACGTCGTGGGCAGTTCTAAAACTACTTGTGCGTCGTTAAACATTCGTTTACACTTTTTTCAGCCATGTTACCTCATTGGCTAGTTAGCTAACAACCTGGTAACTTTACCACTATATCCAAACATTTGGGGCCACAGAAAGAAAGGAAAAGTGATAGATTCTTCAGGAAATCAATGATCATAGCATTGAATGAATGACAGATCTCTTGCATGTTGTCATCACAAACCTGACTTTTTTTTAAAGAGAGTGTACAATTTTCAATGTAATGCATCTAAATAGGAAAATAGTGCTTTTACACAATGTAGAAACCTAATATTCCACAAATAACGTTTTCATATCAACATTTTAGTTTTTATAATAAACTAATGTATTTACAGTGTTACATCTTCGTTTGTAGGGCACACCATGAGCTTCAAAAGTAGCTAGAATTCATATAGGCCCAATATAGTCTGTATCTCAATCAATTTAAAACATATTTTTTAATATGCTACCAATGATATTTTTTTATTTAGAGCCGTGTGTGCCTATATGTGTCAATCTGCAAGCTTGCATCATAGGTTAAGAAGGGCTTTATAATTAAACACTGTTTCCCAGAAGTTGCTCTACCAATATGCTTTGCTCTGTGCGTGTCTGTATGTACGTGTCTGTGTGAAAGGTGTGTCCCATGGGGGAGGCAGTGTGTTAAAGCACAAGCTCCTAAATAACTGACTGACTCACTGGCTCGCTCACACACACATTAACCCAGACTTCCACGCTTACACACTGCTGGGCAACGGGTGCACTGCATTGCTGTGATTGATGTTAACATTCACAACCCCAAAGTAAAGCAATACTGTAGCCTACTCATTCAGCTTGCTCCTTCCCTCTCTTTTACCCATTATTTTTTCTGACAGAGCATGAGTAAACCTCCCTCCTCCTCCCTGTACCTGTCTCTCCCTCTCTCCACCGCCTCCTCTCTCATTTTGGCTCCTTTCCCTGTTCAAGCTGGTTCAGTGGTAGAAAGTTCAACGTGTTCAATGTTAACTCTTTCCTTACTCCCTCACGCTAGAGTGAATGTTCTCTGACCTTTACGGTATATTTGCCTCGAATTAGTGATTTTTATGGTAAGTTTCACCCATATAAGTAAATTTTTGCAAGTATTATCTAGCCAATTTGGTGGTTTTTGTACTGCTTCCCATACAAATTGGGGGTATTCTCTTCACAGAGTGCCACAGAATAGAATAGTAACTGGTGTGACTCATTGGGGGTCAGAGTGCACACGGTGATGAAGTGCCATTGCCTCTATCAGTCTGTCAGTCATTCTGTCACTGCGGTGGTCTCTGAATGCTGGCCGCCGCTCAGGCCTCCCCTCTTCACACGGCTTTGGAACTGCCTCAGGGAGAGATTAATTCTTCCTCCTGTCTCTGGGTCCTTCTCTGCTCCCTCTCCATCTTTTATCTCATCTTTACATGCTACCCCTTTTCAGTTCATTATTTCCTCACCTCCTAGTCTCCCTCTCTAAAGGGGGGAAGGAGGAAAGAATGGTAAGAGGTGTGGATTTTTTTATCGTTTTTGGCACCCATAGCCATTCGTCACTAGGCACTTTGCCCTCTTTCTCTCTTTCTCCCAGCTTTACCTCTCCCTCGAGCAAACCCCCCCCCCCCCCCCCCCCCCTCCCTCTCCTTCCAGCCGCCATGGGTTTTTCAAAGAACTCAAGCAATTTCGACCCCTCTTTCAGTTGTTTGTCTCACTCTGTATGCTTTTCTCGTCTTGTGTTTTTTCATGAGGCAATGGAAGTGGTTGAGCCAGTCTGAGAACTCTGCTCTGCCACTCTGAATGGAGTAAAATTGAGAAAAACAAAGGTGTGTGTGTGTGTGTGTGTGTGTGGAGACAGAAAGGGTTGGATAGCCATGTCTTCTGGGGTCAGTAGGTGGTGTGTTAGATAAGGGATTTCTACATTGTCTAAGCAATCTAAATTGTATCTCCCTCATCTCCTATTTCCTGCGAAAAAGGGTCGTTTTCCCCCATTTCTCACTAATCTCATATTATTCCATTATATTTCACCCCCTTTCTAGTCATTTGTGTGATTGTCACTTCCATCCCCACTCATTCTCTCTGTTTCTCTACCTCCCTCAAATCCCATAATCTGCTCCCTAATCTCTGTCTAGTGAATTGGAATCTGAGAAAACACGCTGAGATTGCGGACTACCGGTAATCTGATGCGATAGGCTCAATGGTATTTTTATTTATTTTATTTTATTAGGATCCCCATTAGCTGTTGCAAAAGCATCAGCTACTCTTCCTGGGGTCCACACAAAACATGAAACATGACATAATACAGAACATGAATATACAACAGCTCAAGGACAGATCTACATACTAGTTTTTTTTTTTTTTTTTTTTACAAAAGGCGCACATAGCCTACATATCAATACATACACACAAACTATCTAGGTCAATGCTCATTGGCATATGAGAAGGGATGACTGGGTGTGTAGTAAGGTTGGGCGGTGTAGTAGGATTGGGCAACCCAAAATACTATATATATACACAGTTGAAGTCGGAAGTTTACATACTCTTAGGTTGGAGTCATTAAAACTTGTTTTTCAACCACTCCACAAATGTATTTGTGGAGTGGTTAGGACATCTACTTTGTGCATGACACAAGTAATTTTTCCAACAATTGTTTACAGACAGATTATTTCACTTATAATTCACTGTATCACAATTCCAGTGGGTCAGAAGTTTACATACACTAAATTGACTGTGCCTTTAAACAGGTTGGAAAATTCCAGAAAATGATGTCATGGCTTTAGAAGCTTCTGATAGGCTAATTGACATAATTTGTGTAAATTGGAGGTGTACCTGTGGATGTATTTCAAAGCCTACCTTCAAACTCAGTGCCTCTTTGCTTGACATCATGGGAAAATTTGAGATTTTTGGTTCCAACCGCCGTGTCTTTGTGAGACGCAGAACAGGTGAAAGGATGATCTCCGCATGTGTGGTTCCCACCGTGAAGCATGGAGGAGGAGGTGTGGGGGTGCTTTGCTGGTGACACTGTCTGTGATTTATTTAGAATTCAAGGCACACTTAACCAGCATGGCTACCACAGCATTCTGCAGCGATACGCCATCCCATCTGGTTTGGGCTTAGTGGGACTATCATTTGTTTTTCAACAGGACAATGACCCAACACACCTCCAGGCTGTGTAAGAGCTATTTGACCAAGAAGGAGAGTGATGGAGTGCTGCATCAGATGACCTGGCCTCCACAATCACCCGACCTCAACCCAATTGAGATGGTTTGGGATGAGTTGAACCGCAGAGTGAAGGAAAAGCAGCCAACAAGTGCTCAGGATATGTGGGAACTCCTTCAAGACTGTTGGAAAAGCATTCCAGGTGAAGCTGGTTGAGAGAATGCCAAGAGTGTGCAAAGCTGTCATCAAGGCAAAATAATCTAAAATACACTGCTCAAAAAATAAAGGGAACACTTAAACAACACAATGTAACTCCAAGTCATTCACACTTCTGTGAAATCAAACTGTCCACTTAGGAAGCAACACTGATTGACAATACATTTCACATGCTGCTGTGCAAATGGAATAGACAACAGGTGGAAATTATAGGCAATTAGCAAGACACTCCCAATAAAGGAGTGGTTCTGCAGGTGGTGACCACAGACCACTTCTCAGTTCCTATGCTTCCTGGCTGATGTTTTGGTCACTTTTGAATGCTGGCGGTGCTTTCACTCTAGTGGTAGCATGAGACGGAGTCTACAACCCACACAAGTGGCTCAGGTAGTGCAGCTCATCCAGGATGGCACATCAATGCGAGCTGTGGCAAGAAGGTTTGCTGTGTCTGTCAGCGTAGTGTCCAGAGCATGGAGGCGCTACCAGGAGACAGGCCAGTACATCAGGAGACGTGGAGGAGGCCGTAGGAGGGCAACAACCCAGCAGCAGGACCGCTACCTCCGCCTTTGTGCAAGGAGGAGCAGGAGGAGCACTGCCAGAGCCCTGCGAAATGTGTCTGCTCAAACGGTCAGAAACAGACTCCATGAGGGTGGTATGAGGGCCGACGTCCACAGGTGGGGGTTGTGCTTACAGCCCAACACCGTGCAGGACGTTTGGCATTTGCCAGAGAACACCAAGAATGGCAAATTCGCCACTGGCGCTCTGTGCTCTTCACAGATGAAAGCAGGTTCACACTGAGCACATGTGACAGACATGACAGAGTCTGGAGACGCCGTGGAGAACGTTCTACTGCCTGCAACATCCTCCAGCATGACCGGTTTGGCGGTGGGTCAGTCATGGTGTGGGGTGGCATTTCTTTGGGGGGCCGCACAGCCCTCCATGTGCTCGCCAGAGGTAGCCTGACTGCCATTAGGTACCGAGATGAGATCCTCAGACCCCTTGTGAGACCATATGCTGGTGCGGTTGGCCCTGGGTTCCTCCTAATGCAAGACAATGCTAGACCTCATGTGGCTGGATTGTGTCAGCAGTTCCTGCAAGAGGAAGGCATTGATGCTATGGACTGGCCCGCCCGTTCCCCAGACCTGAATCCAATTGAGCACATCTGGGACATCATGTCTCGCTCCATCCACCAACGCCACGTTGCACCACAGACTGTCCAGGAGTTGGCGGATGCTTTAGTCCAGGTCTGGGAGGAGATCCCTCAGGAGACCATCCGCCACCTCATCAGGAGCATGCCCAGGCGTTGTAGGGAGGTCATACAGGCACGTGGAGGCCACACACACTACTGAGCCTCATTTTGACTTGTTTTAAGGACATTACATCAAAGTTGGATCAGCCTGTAGTGTGGTTTTCCACTTTAATTTTGAGTATGACTCCAAATCCAGACCTCCATGGGTTGATAAATTTGATTTCCATTGATAATTTTTGTGTGATTTTGTTGTCAGCACATTCAACTATGTAAAGAAAAAAGTATTTTTTTGAGCAGTGTATATCTTTTTTGGTTACTACATGATTCCATATGTGTTTTCATAGTTGTGATGTCTTCACTATTATTCTACAATGTAGAAAATAGTAGAAATTAAGAAAAACCCTTGAATGAGTAGGTGTGCCCAAACTTTTGACTGGTACTGTATATCTCTTTTTTTTATTTTATTTTATTACGGTATTGAAAATCACACCATCAGTATTTCGAAATACTACTGTATAAACAGTATATCGCCCAAGCGACAGTATTATGTATGGCAATCATCAGTTAAGCAGACTTTACCTCAATGACCATAATGACGGGTCCTCAAGGGAGGACTCGCACAAGCCGATATTATTGTTGATTTTGTAAAATAATTTTTTAATATCTGTTGGGGTGGGAGAAAGAAGGTTGCTACGTTTGATTGAGTACAGGAAGATAGTGAATCAGGCCAAAGGTTTTCACAGAGGCAGTGTTATAAGAGCGTGTATGTGCATGTTTCCCTACGAGTGTGAGCTTCCTGGCCTTGTCTTTTCCCGGGAAACAGCATATCCTGTCGACACAACAAACAATACCGTTCTCGCACACGCAACCACCAAACCCTGTACTTATTACTTATGCTATAAACTGAGTTTATACAATTTTCTCAGGATCATTTCAGAAATTAACACTATGTTTCCTGCCAGTGAGAGTAATTGGATGAATAGTGATTGATAGTGATTGATTGTTTGATAAGGTGTGTGTGTGCGTTCCAATGTCTCTCTCTCCTCAAGATTTTCCTTCTGATCATTTTCACCTCAATCAACCCCATGGGTGTTTTTCTGCCCGTCTCTCCTGCCTCTTCCTTATCGACGCGCCAGACTTCCTCCTCCTCCTTCCTCCACCTCCTCCTGAATGTTTTACAACCTCTCAACCCCAAATACTGTGATGAAAGTCTTTCCTGGTAAACAGGCGTAGGAATATGATAAACATGGAACTGTGTGTGTGTGTGTGTGTGTGTGTGTCCAGACTTGTCCAACTACATAGTCATTGTCTTTGCATGTATCCATGCATTTGTAATGAAGTGTGTAGGAGAATGTGTGTGTATATGGAACTGCATGGGGTCGATTATTGTCTCTGAAAATGAGCCATTATGTGTGTATTGTTCTGTAAATAAGGGTTGTTGTGTCTTTTTGTTTTGCGGTTTTTGTCCTTTTGGGGAAATGGCTGGACTCTGGTTGTTAACTTGTTCCCACAGCGATTGCATGCATATTGTCACTAATCTACAGTATGGGTCTCTCTCTCTCACACAGCTTCAGTTACTGGTGCCACCTGGAGGTCAAGAAGTGTAATGATGACCTATTTGCGTTGAATAGAACATCTCAGGCAAACCAACTTGTATAGTCTCAAAGCCACTGGCAGGCAAACAATGGTGAATGCTCACAGACTATTATACTCTCGGAGGATTGGGGAAAAAATGATGAAAAAACAAGGTTTATCTTGTGGAAATCAATTCTGCAAAATCTTCCTAGCACAGATATTTGCTTTTTGAGTAATGTAATTTCAGTGGTGACATTTTTGGTCAGGCTCTTACAAATGACTCCGGGACTGTGTTAGACAGTTAGAAAGAGCACACATATTCATCTAACTCCCTGCGGTTCTCCAAAATAAGGCAATTATGTTGCTGGTAGACTCTGGGGTTACTTTGTGGGAGGGGAAGAGTTAAAATCTTTGGCCAAGGCCGCTGTCAGAATTAACAATGGACAAAGGTAAAGTAACAGATATAGAAAGGAGAGAGATTGATGACAGAAGTCAACACAACCCAAGTATGAACCCGACTCTGAATATTATGTTAAGAGGGAGGGGCTAAGAGAATTGGACCATTCTTGTTTCTATTAACTGTGTTAGCCTCTCTACAAACAGTGGGTCACAAACTCACATATTTGGCATTCCAACAAGGTCGGCTCTGATTGGTTCGGCAAGTGCTGGGGGCGGGGGAGGGGGCGGAATTAAATGGGGCTCTATTGGGCTTATTGAGTGATGCAAGATGGACAGGGAGAGGGTGGGGAGACCTGACAGAGATGGATGGATGGAGAGATGAAACAAAAGAGAAATGTAGCTGTGTAGAAAAACGTGAACTAGCACTACAGCATAGCCAGACTTATATTTCAGAGTGGCTCTCCTCTCTCACGCTCCTCAATTTAAAAAAAATATTTTAACTGTTTTTCATTTTCCAGAGGATAAATTCAGAAAGAAATGCCACCCCTGTAACCCATGTCTTTCATCTCTCTTTTTTAACACCTCTCACTTTCCAATTTTCCCTCCATGGTCCTATGCACATACACACAGTCACACACACACAGGACACACACTGTGTTCAGTCCTTTTTGAAGTCCCAAAATCCAGAGTAATACCCCCTCTCTGTTTGGGAACAATGGACCCAGGGCCCCACCCTGCCCCTCTCCCCTCCACTCCCGCCCCCCCCCCTCTCTGGGCCTCTGTGTTGGCTCTAAGCACTTGTATTAGGCAGAGTCTGGTGCCGCTGAATGGACCCGAGCTCAGCCGCTGCTCCACCCAATAATCCGTGCTCGGACGAGCCGATTAGGCGCCCCGCGGCATTCCGATCCACTCAGCCGTAACGCCGACCAGTCATCTCTTAGGCCGTATTAGTGTGGCATTATAACCCGATGGTAAAAAAATTAAATCTGAGGTTAGCGTAATTGCTCTAGGTTTGAGTGATGGGTGATGGCTCTAGACTAGTAGTAGAGCTCTGATGGTGATTGCTGTGGAGTTTCACAGTGGTCAGGTGTTGCGAGCTTGTCAGCAGGTGGAACCTCATGTGCTTTTAAATAGACAAACTGAACCTCAAAGCAGGTGATTCTCCACACAACATCCATCTCTGGGCTTTCAAATGCACGGGAGGAGCACATTACTTGCTGACCGTGTTTGTGTGTGTGTGTCCAAGGACCCTCTGGTGCTGACTCTGCGATTGTCCGACCTTTGATCCTGAGTGAGCCCTCCTTCCCTCAGATGTCCAACATTCCACAGGGCGATAGAGTGCAGCGATGAGAGAGGGAGATGGAGGGGGTAGAGGTGAAGATGAAAGCAAAACGCTGGCCAGAGAGATTCAAGTAGATGGATCAGGCTCCTGAAGAGGCTCTAATAAATCAAGGAGGAGGAGAGGAAGAGGTTCAAATAGTCTGGAGTCTATTTTTCACTAGACACAATACACACAGACCGACACAGACACACAACCACTTGACATTCACTGGCTGGCTGTATGCTATCGTCATCATTCATTATCCCCCCTTATCATCACACACACACACAGATTCCTCAGCAGACCCAATACACACACACACACAATCGTAGTTGCATATCTGTCATAGTTCCACAAATCATCCATAAGTAGAGAATGCGGTCACCCCTCCCTGGAGTTATTTCTGTAAACGTTGCTGTCATTAAAACTGAGCATCCCAGGAACAACAGAGGGCATAAATCAGCTCTGTAATCATAGTGAGAAGCAATTCAGGCACCATTTTCAATATGGAGTCTGAAATCAAGCGAGAGAAGCTGTTTAGAGTCTGCCAGAGTGATGGTGACAATGTTTGACATTGTTAAAAACTTTTCAGTCAGGCATTCTTTGAAGTGCCTTTAATCAGTCGGGCTGCAAAAGCCCCCGGGATAATTAAACTATTTACAATTAATAAAGGGGCCTCTCATGGGTGTGTATTCAGCCCCCTGTTCATTTGGGTTAGTAAGATATTCCATCAGAGGAGGGTGTGAATGGTACCACTGTATGAAACGGTGGCATTGATGAAGCAACTGCAACACTCACACACAGAAAGTTTAACACCGAGCAAAAGCCATTCACAGCTAGAGGCCCCTGACCCTCTCATTCATATGGCTCCCTCCTTCCCCTCACGCCCAGCCTGAGGGGTCAGGGTGGGGGGAGTGGGAAGCATAATTACCCCCCCCCCCCCCCCCTCCAGGGTGACTTTATTACCCCTTTTTGTGTTTTAATTGCACCACCCTTCGACCCCCTTTTGATGAATACTTTGGGACCATACCACAAACAGCTTTCAATCAGGGGGAGGGGGATGGTAGAGAGGGAGAGAGAGTCTGTGTGTGTGTATGTGTGTGTGTGTGTGTGTGTGCGTGCGTGCGTGCGTGCGTGCGTGTGTGCGTGCGTGCTCGGTCGCGTGGTTACTGTTTGAGGAGAATACTAGGTCAAACACAGCATACAAACATGTTTGCTGAATAGTATTATCGATTTAGCTGGAATTGTGAGTGGCAGGCAAAATAACCACTCAACAGTGGAACTTGTAAACAGTTTGTGGCAGCTAGGCAAACTGTAGATAAGCACTAAGCTGTCCTACAACACAGTCAGTGGAATAATAATTACTGGCCCTGTGTTTGCTTAATATGTTACTATTATGCAGCTAGATGGAAGTTGACGCGTTTCATTAGTATACAGAGAGAAACCGTTGCTCTTTTTACCGGCCCAACACTACTCTTGTCACAGTGCTGTTAATCTGGTCATCTGCATTGAGAGAAAGCAGTGAAGCGAGGAGGCAGAGGGAGTTGTGCTGGAGGGGAGGGGGGAAGGGTAGTGGGCACTAGGAGTTTGGAGCCACAGTGTCTGTCCTTTAACCAGGGGGTCCACCGGTAACAAACAACACCAGCTAATGAGCGACAAGGGCCTCTCTCTGCTTGTGCACTTTGATCGTTACTCACACATATGGATCTTGTCACACCAACACACACTTCCCCCCCGGAATACATCCCAAATGTCACTTGTTGCGTTCATTGCTTTCATAGGGTGATGCTGGAATTCTCAACAAAAAAACAAATACCCAAGAGCCAAAATGTATCCAATGTGGAGTTCATTGGCAGATGAGCAAATACCCACCCCAGGACTATGGAGCAACCCATCTCTCACAGAGCTGTGTGGTGTAAAGGCGTCAGCATGCTTCAGTTTGACTTCAGCTAGCCAAACCGAATGAGTGTGCTAGCATGCTTCCTGGAAAGATGTTTGCTTGAAAAATGATGGGGAAAGCGGCAATATTACCCCGGGACATTAGAGGGGGATGAGCTGGTAATGGCCATCTACAGCCAAACAAGGAAGTGACGACACACTTCCTTGTCCAGGTAGCTTTTCAGGAGTCTTATGGCTTGGGGGTAGAAGCTGTTAAGAAGCCTTTTGGACCTAGACTTGGCGCTCCGATACCGCTTGCCGTGCGGTAGCTGAGAGAACAGTCTATGACTAGGGTGGCTGGAGTCTTTGACAATTTTTAGGGCCTTCCTCTGACACCGCCTGGTATAGAGGTCCAGTTGCCATACCAAGCAGTATTGCAACCAGTCAGGATGCTCTCGATGGTGCAGCTGTATAACTTTTTGAGGATCTGAGGACCCATGCCAAATCTTTTTAGTCTCCTGAGGGGGAATAGGCTTTGTCGTGCCCTCTTCACGACTGTCTTGGTGTTTTTGGACCATGATAGTTTGTTGGTGATGTGGACACCAAGGAACTTCAAGCTCTCAACCTGCTCCACTACAGCCCCGTCGATGAGAATGGGGGCGTGCTCGGTCCTCCTTTTCCTGTATTCCACAATCATCTCCTTTGTCTTGATCACGTTGAGGGAGAGATTGTTATCCTGGCACCACACTGCCTATAGGCTGTCTCATCGTTGTTGGTGATCAGGCCTACTACTGTTGTGTCGTCGGCAAACTTAATGATGGTGTTGGAGTCGTGCCTGGCCATGCAGTCATGGGTGAACAGGGAGTAAAAGAGGGGACTGAGCACGCACCCCTGAAGGGCCCCCGTGTTGAGGATCAGCGTGGCAGATGTGTTGTTACCTACCCTTACCACCTGGGGGCGGTCCGTCAGGAAGTCCAGGATCCAGTTGCAGAGGGAGGTGTTTAGTCCCAGGATCCTTAGCTCAGTGATGAGCTTTGAGGGCACTATGGTGTTGAACGCTGAGCTGTAGTCAAAGAATAGCATTCTCACATAGGTGTTCCTTTTGTCCAGGTGGGAAAGGGCAGTGTGGAGTGCAATAGAGATTGCATCATCTGTTGGGGCAGTATGCAAATTGGAGTGGGTCTTGGGTTTTTGGGATAATGGTGTTGATGTGAGCCATGACCAGCCTTTCAAAGCACTTCAGGCTACAGACGTGAGTGCTAAGGGTCTGTACTCATTTAGGCAGCTACCTTAGTGTTCTTGGGCACAGGGTCTATGGTGGTCTGCTTGAAACATGTTGGTAGTACAAACTCGGGTCAGGGACAGGTTGAAAATGTCAGTGAAGACACTTGCCAGTTGGTCAGCGCATGCTCGGAGTGTCCTGGTAATCCGTATGGCCCTGTGGCCTTGTGAATGTTGACATGTTTAAAGGTCTATCTCACATCGGCTACAGAGAGCGTGATCACACAGTTGTCCGGAACAGCTGATGCTCTCATGCATGCTTCAGTGTAAATACAACAACATACCCCATCCTTTGGTGAAAACGGCATGTTGCTTTCAGTCTTCCCATGCTTCATGTGCCGAACAAGCCAGCAGCAACATTTCTGGAGTAGCCTTTCCACCGGGATCTCCACTGCGGCCCTTGTTTATTTTCTTTGCTTTGACGTACTTGTCGCAAACCCTACCCCACTTTTTCGAACAAATGGTTGGGTCGGATCCCAGTGTTTCTGCAATCTCCCTCCATGAATTGGACCACTCCCGAGTGGCGCAGTGGTCTAAGGCACTGCATCGCAGTGCTAGCTGTGCCACTAGAGATCCTGGTTTGTATCCAGGCTCTGTCGTAGCCGGCCGTGACCGGGAGACCAATGGGGCGGCGCACAATTGGCCCAGCGTCGTCTAGGGTAGGGGAGGGAATGGCCGGCAGGGATGTAGCTCAGTTGGTAGAGCATGGCGTTTGCAACGCCAGGGTTGTGGGTTCGATTCCCACGGGGGTATAAAAAAATAAAAAATAATGTAAGTCGCTCTGGATAAGAGCGTCTGCTAAATGACGTAAATGTAAAATGTAAATGTATATGCTGGTCTTTATATAATGCATGGCTAGAATCGTACTGGTGAAGGTACTTTTGTACCTCCTCGGTCAATTGATGCTCGAAGTTGTCGTTCGCAATGTTCAATCCACACCGAGTTTCGGGCTGAATTGACAAGAAGCAGAAACTCACGTCACCCTTACAATCATGGACGAAGGGGCATCGATTTCAGCTTCCGAACTTCAGCTGGCCCTTGAGAAAAATGTGTAGTGTGCCTGAACAGCCGACAAAACCCTAACCGAACTCCAAAACAGCACAAACTGTACCGAACTGTTTCGGTTGGGAAGCATGTGGATGCCTTAAAAGGGGGTGGATATAACATACCACACACTAGCTGGCTTTGTGAGAGTCCCCCAAATGCAGAGTTGCACATGTATTCATTGCAAAAGCAATAAAACGATCTAAGACACACATTTGGGGCGCGTGTTGTGAAAACATTTAAGCCGGGTGAGTTTACTCCACTTCTCTGTTACTCTGGGCACCCTGGTGATGCAGGAGGAGTTGGTAATGGATAAGCACAGCTTAAGTAACTGAACACTGGGTGAGGGGGTGGTGGTTGTGTTGCTAGAGGCTAAAGCTAGCTGCTGCTCCCTCCAGGTTGGTGTGTGGTGATGGATGGGGATGAATGCATATATCTGTGAGAAAGAATGACGGGGAAGAAAGAAATGTAGAGAAGGAGAGCAAAAGAGAAAGAGGAGGAGGGTGGGAGTGTAGGTGATTATTACTGGGTGGAACTAGGGGCCTCTTTACACTGCACTACTTTGATGACACAAACCAGGTCCAGGAGATATGCTTGTGTAGTTTAGAGAGACAGATATAGATTGAAATCTCTCATTAAGAGATATTTCCCACACTACCCCCTTCTAAGTGGAACCTCTCCCACACCACATGTCCCCTAAAGAATTACCTTAATACTAGTAGACAGCATTTTTGCTCTGTTAGCCAAATAGAAAATTAAAGGCTTTTAAAATATCCACACATGTGTATCATTGCATTAATCAAGTGTGCAATATGGTTTAGATGAGAAGCTCCTGTACAGTTTGAATTGCTATCCTTATTTTGTTTGTGTATATACAATGGCATTTACGGTATGCTAATAGCTGCACTATCACATTAAGCAGGAATCACATCCCAAGGCTAGTGTAAACAGAAACGTTGCAAATCTGATGTTGAAGAGACATACTGTAGATCTCACTAGACATATTTTACAAATGTAAATCCACCCATGGACTGCTGGTGTAAAAAGCTTGGAGAGGAGGACTGGAGGGAGGGAGGAGAGGCAGATAGTCTGACTGTATCTGCTCCCTATGTGTGTATCTGTAATGAGAGGGGGAGTGTGGCAGGAGACAGAAACAGACAGGGACCAGACGTGTGTGTCTGTCCGTCTGTCCTTAATGAAAGGGGTAAATGCTCAGGAGAGACCTGGCCTCCTCATGTTCATGCCTCACTCTTTCGGGTGGCGGCGGTGGTGCGTTTGTGATTAGGCATTCTGCACCCCTTGTCTGTGCCTGCCTGATGTCTAGCTCTGGCTGCAGTTTAGTGTCGATACTCATCTCCCGGCCCGGTGTCCTGAATGACTGCTAATGTTTCTCTGTAAACATTGCTGGGTTCCAGGGGGAGCCGGGATCAATGTGCACTCAGGACTAGCTCCCAGCACAGACAGCACAGCCCAGAACTTCTGCTGCTGCTGTCCACAATCATCCATATTTATACACACATCCACTCAGCTCACTTTCCCACTTATTGTGTTTTCTCCCGGCCTGCTGCTCATACCTCTCCGTCTCCTCCATGATTTCCCCTGTTGAATCCGGGGCACACGCCACCGGCCGATACATAATCCCAAATTTGATAGTTGTATTTTATTGCCACTCCGAAGCCATCGCCGTACTTATCAATCCCGGTGCCACTTGTGACTCGACTAAGCCCCTCCTTCCCCCTTTGCTCTTCGTCCTCAGGTTCCTATGGGACAACTATGCGGTGGAGGTGCGGCTGAACGACTACCTGGACATCGTGTGCCCCCACTACCCGCTGGGCGAGTTGGCATCGCAGGATGCTGAGCGCTACGTGCTCTACATGGTGGAGCGGGAGGACTACGACGCTTGCAAGCCTCAGTCCTACGACCAGATGCGCTGGGAGTGCGGCCACCCCTTCGCCCCCCACGCCGCCGAGAAGTTCTCTGAGAAGTTCCAGCGTTTCACCCCCTTCACCCTGGGCAAGGAGTTCCGCCAGGGAGAGAGCTACTACTATATCTGTAAGTGTCTAGCTATTTATTTATCCATGTGAATAAATCATTTCTAAAGAATTTGTAAGAGAACTTAAAGGGACACTTCACCGAAAGTCAACGTTTGTTGAATGTTTTCAGACCTCAAAAGAAGTCAGGAAAAATGTGAGGGAAAAGCACTGCCGACGATATAGACGTGTATGACCCTTGGCAAAGCACCCAGACAAACAAGTCGCCATCTTAAAGGATGGGATAAAGTAATCCCACCCCACCCAAAAAAAACAACATTGTAAAGTGGTTATCCCACTGGCTATAAGGTGAATGCACCAATTTGTAAGTCGCTCTGGATAAGAGCGTCTGCTAAATGACGTAAATGTAAATGTTAAAGGCTTATGTTAACATTCAGTGAATGTTGGCATGCTATGTTGTGCATTAGCGCTCACATGCTAGCTAGCTAGCAGATAGCCGGTGGCCCAATCACCCATAGAGAGGCAATGCTGTGACCCTGAGTGTGTTGTAATTATATGAGCGACGGGACGGGACACACTCCGCCTGTTCACAAATGGCTGCAGGCCGTGTGTGCACGTGCGTCTGTCTGTCTGTGGAGGTGGATTAAGGCGACACAGGAGGATAAGTGCATTAGTTTATCTGTAATTAACGCTTGTCTTTGTTCCTTCCCCTCTCCAGCCAAACCTCTGCACCACCATGGACAGGAGTGCCTCAGACTCAGGGTAGACGTCGTAGCTACTGATGGTAAGTTTCACTGTTAGTGGTTGGGTGGAGAAGTGCACTGTATAGGCTTTTGTTTGCGTCCCAAATGGCACCATATTCCCTATATAGGGCACTACTTTTGACCAGGTCCTGGGAATAGATAATGATGATGATTTTAGCTCCAGGCTGCAGTATGGCAGAGGGATTGATTGTTCTTTTTCTCATCCAGGTTCTCAAGAGGCCAGGGTTGCAACTGGAGGAGCTGCAGCTGCAGCTGGAGCTGGGGGTGGAGCACACAACCCCTCCAACAGACTGCCTGCAGGTATGTTAATGAACAAACCATTGGGCCAGTTGTACTTGATCCTAGGACTGAACATTTAGGGCCGGTTTCCCAGACACGGATGATACTTAAAAATACAGTGCATTCTGAAAGTATTCAGACCCCTTGACTTTTTCCAAATGTTGTTAAGTTACAGCCTTATTCTAAAATGGATTCAATAGTTTTTTCCCCTCATCAATCTACACACAATAACCCATAATGACAAAGCAAAAACAGGTTTTTAGAAATGTTTGCAAAACAATTAATTAAAATAAATTGAAATACCACATTTACATAAGTATTCAGACCCTTTACACAGTACTTTGTTGAAGTAACTTTGGCAGCGATTACAGCCTCGAGTCTTCTTGGGTATGATGCTACAAGCTTGGCACATCTGTATTTGGGGAGTTTCTCCCATTCTTCTCTGCAGATCCTCTCAAGCTCTGTCAGGTTGGATGGGGAGTGTCGCTGCACAGCTATTTTCAGGTCTCCAGAGATGTTCAATCGGGTTCAAGTCCAGGCTCTGGCTGGGCCACTGAAGGACATTCAGAGACTTTTCCTGAAGCCACTTCTGCGTGGTCTTGGCTGTGTGCTTAGGGTCGTTGTCCTGTTGGAAGGTCCTGAGCGCTCTGGAGCTGGTTTTCATCAATGATCTCTCTGTACTTTGCTCCGTTCATCTTTCCCTCGATCCTGACTAGTCTCCCAATCCCTGCCGCTGAAAAACATCCCCACAGCATGATACTGCCACCACCATGCTTTACCGTAGGGATGGTGCCAGGTGTCCTCCAGACGTGACACTTGGTATTCATGCCAAAGAGTTCAATCTTGGTTTCATCAGACCAGAGAATCTTGTTTCTCATGGTCTGAGAGTCCTTTAGGTGCCTTTTGGCAAACTCCAAGCGGGTTGTCATGTGCCTTTTACTGAGAAGTGGCTTCCGTCTGGCCACGCTACCATAAAGGCCTGATTGGTGGAGTGCTGCAGAGATGGTTGTCCTGGAAGGTTCTCCCATCTCCACATAGGAACTCTGGAGCTCTGTCAGAGTGACCATCGGGTTCTTGGTCACCTCCCTGACCAAGGCCCTTCTCCCCCGATTGCTCAGTTTGGCCGGTCGGCTAGCTCTAGGAAGAAACTTGGTGGTTCCAAACTTCTTCCATTTAAGAATGATGGAGGCCACTGTGTTCTTGGGGACCTTCAATGCTACAGAAATGTTTTGGTACCCTTCCCCAGATCTGTGCCTCAACATAATCCTGTCTCGGAGCTCTAAGCGCTTGGTTTTTGCTCTGACATGCACTGTCAACTATGAGACCTTATATAGACAGGTGTGTGCCTTTCCAAATCATTTCCAATCAAATTGAATTTACCACAGGTGGACTCCAATCAAGTTGTAGAAACATCTCAAGGATGATCAATGGAAACAGGATGCACCTGAGCGCAATTTCGAGTCTAAGAGCAAAGGGTCTGAATACTTTTGTAAATAAGGTATTTCTGTTTGTTATTTCTAATAAATGTGCCAAAATTTCTAAAAAACCTGTTTTCGCTTTGTCATTATGGGGTATTGTGTGTAGATTGATGAGGAAAACAATTATTTACTCCATTTTAGAATAAGGCTGTAACGTAACAAAATGTGGAAAAGTCAAGGGGTCTGAATACTTTCCGAATGCATTGTATATTTCAATGGAGATTTTTCATTGATGATGCTTTTTAATCCAGGACTAGGATTAATCTGTGTCCGGGAAACAGGCCCTTGAAATTCAGATTAAGGATGTGTTAACATGGAATAATGTATATTCTATATTTTCTCCATTCAGATGACCCAGTGGTAATCCTGCCAGAGGTCCAGAAAAGTGTGCGGACAAATTCAGCGATGTCAAAGGCGTCCTTCTCCATCCTGTCATTGATGGTCCCAGTCTTATTATTACTGTTGTTACAGTGAGACTCTGAAAGAACTACAAATCCCATAGACTTGGAAGGCATACAATGAAGTTGGTCTGTGGGGAACCACAGACACAAAAGACAGTTCTCAAAGCCAAGTGCTGGTCACTGGGAGAGGGACCTTTTTAATCTTGTAAGTACGAATGGACACATGCACTAAGTGTGCCGAGTGAGACTTTGGTTGGAGTTTTGTGAGAAGGCATTGAGCTTTCTCCTCTCTTTTTTAAGATGTCATTATTTCCTGGAGAGATTTTGTTCTCTTCAATGTTAGTCGTTTTTTACTCTTCTCCTCCAAAAAACATAATTTGTTTAGGAAAATAATTTTGAAGAGGAACGTAAATGGACGAAGAACAATCACTGAAGACAAAGTTAAAGGACTTTCTTATATGGACAACGATTTAGATTTGATATGAATTTGTATTAGAAAAAACTGCATTTAGTGAATCATCTTCTCTAAGCTTTTGAGCCAAAGAATACAGTGATCATCTCTCCAGTATGTAACTATTCTATTCCAACCTTGACTATTTTGTACTGTTTGTGGTATTGTTATTGTATTGTTATTGAGTGGCACTAAATGTCCAAGTGATTCTTTCTCAATGTAGCATCGACAAAAGCAGGGGATGTGTTAGCTAACTATTAATGTTCCTGTGCAGACTCGACCATGTGCTTTCATAGCACTAACCATATAGCACAACAGACAGACTATTCAGTTGTACAGACTGACTGATGCACAGACTGACTGACATCACAATACAGATCCATAACAACATAGTAGACACTATATGGAAAGGAAAGGTATTATCTGTACATTCTGTGAAAATAATTTATAAAAGTTTGCAGCTGAAAGATTCACTGTATACAATACTGTATGTTTAACAAATGCTAGGTTTACTGTTGGTAAGTGAGCGCTCTCCGAGTGGGGAGAGTATTCACGCGAGTGGTAGAAATAGTGTTTCAGTGACAGAGAAAGGTCAAACAAAATGTTAAAACTGCAAAAAGCAAACACTGATACAATATATTGTGTGTAGCAGTGGAAGGCGGGCCTTCTCTATATGTCAGATCATACACCCGTACCGTTTAAACTGACCAACAAAATAACCCAGACTTAACTATACTCACCACAGTACTTGCCAGAGCAGTGTTTCACTATGAAACACTATCCTCTACCTCTATTGACACTAAAAGTCAACCAAGTAAAAATAGTTTTATTCAAAAACAGTTGTAATTTGGTTGGACATACACTATATATACACAAAAGTATGTGGACACCCCTTCAAATTAGTGGATCCGGCTATTTCAGCCACACCTGTTGCTGACAGGTGTATAATATTGAGCACACAGCCATGCAATCTCCATAGACAAACATTGGCAGTAGAACGGCCTTACTGAAAAGCTCAGTGACTTTCAACGTGGCACCGTCATAAGATGCACCGCCGAGTACTGAAGCGCGTATTGGGTAAAAATAATCTGTCCTCTGTTGCAACACTCACTACCGAGTTCCAAACTGCCTCTAGAAGCAACGTCAGCACAATAACTGTTCGTCGGGAGCTTCATGAAATGGGTTTCCATGGCCGAGGAGCCGCACAAGATCACCATGCGCAATGCCAAACGTCGGCTGGAGTGGTGTAAAGTTCGCCGCCATTGGAAACACGCTCTCTGGAGTGATGAGTCACGCTTCACCATCTGGCAGTCCGACGGATTCATCTGTGTTTGACGGATGCCAGGAGAATGCTACCTGCCCCAATGCATAGTGCCAACTGTATAGTTTGGTGGAGGAGGAATAATGGTCTGGGGCTGTTTGTCATGGTTCGGGCTAGGCCCCTTAGTTCCAGTGAAGGGAAATCATAACGCTACAATGACATTCAAAATGATTCTGTGCTTCCAACTTTGTGGCAACAGTTTGGGATAGGCCCTTTCTTGTTTCAGCATGACAATGCCCCCGTGCACAAAGCGAGGTCCATACAGAAATGGTTTGTCGAGATCAGTGTGGAAGAAGTTGACTGGCCTGCACAGAGCCATATCCTCAACCCCATCGACCACCTTTGGGATGAATTGGACCTCCGACTGCGAGCCAGGCCTAATCGCCCAACATCAGTGCCCAACCTCACTAATGCTCTTGTGGCTGAATGGAAGCAAGTCCCAGGCAGCAATGTTCCAACATCTAGTGGAAAGCCTTCCCAGAAGAGTGGAGGCTGGTAAAACAGCAAAGGGGGGACCAACTCCATATTAATGCCCATGATTTTGGAATGAGAAGTTTGACGAGCAGGTGTCCACAGACTTTTGGTCATGTAGTGTAATTTACAATTTGGTTGTATTATAATGGAATTTGCCAGTCAGAATAAAGCAGAGGTCTTGGGATATACTGCTATGGTGAGATTATAGGCCTACACACTCAGTCAGGCACACAGAACTCACTGAAACCACAAGACATGGCATCAATCACAGCTGCCAAGCCCAACTTCACAATTTGAACAACAGACAACATTATATGACTAAAATTGAGTCAATCCTTTTTGTTACCTTATTTTGTACATGTGTAAGTAAAGTGTAATATATGTATATATAGAAGATTATATAAAGAACCCATTTGATAATTATGATGTGAAATTCTCATGTGAAATAAAATATATTTTTGTGAAAACAAGAACAGCATCCTCCCAATTTTATCCCCTCCTAACAGATTTCTATTACAGTGAGGGAAAAAAGTATTTGATCCCCTGCTGATTTTGTACGTTTGCCCACTGACAAAGACATGATCAGTCTATACTTTTAATGGTATGTTTATTTGAACAGTGAGAGACAGAATAACAACAGAAAAATCGCACCAACTGCAGGATTTCAGTCCTTCACGGCGTAGTGTGTTACCAATTGTTTTCTTGGTGACTATGGTCCCAGCTGCCTTGAGATCATTGACAAGATCCTCCCGTGTAGTTCTGGGCTGATTCCTCACCGTTCTCATGATCATTGCAACTCCACGAGGGGAGATCCTGCATGGAGCCCCAGGCCGAGGGAGATTGACAGTTATTTTGTGTTTCTTCCATTTGTGAATAATCGCACCAACTGTTGTCACCTTCTCACCAAGCTGCTTGCCGATGGTCTTGTAGCCCATTCCAGCCTTGTGTAGGTCTACAATCTTGTCTCTGACATCCTTGGAGAGCTCTTTGGTCTTGGCCATGGTGGAGAGTTTGGAATCTGATTGATTGATTGCTTCTGTGGACAGGTGTCTTTTATACAGGTAACAAACTGAGATTAGGAGCACTCCCTTTAAGAGTGTGCTCCTAATCTCAGCTCATTACCTGTATAAAAGACACCTGGGAGCCAGAAATCTTTCTGATTGAGAGGGGGTCAAATACTTATTTCCCTCATTAAAATGCAAATCAATTTATAACATTTTTGAAATGCGTTTTTCTGGATTTTTTTGTTGTTATTCTGTCTCTCACTGTTCAAATAAACCTACCATTAAAATTATAGACTGATCATTTCTTTGTCAGTGGGCAAACGTACAAAATCAGCAGGGGATCAAATACTTTTTTCCCTCACTGTATATTACAGTGGAAAGAACATCACAGAGATCAGTTGATAGCTGTAATAATGATCACTCATTAATATTGAGTTAAATACAGATGTTCACGCCAGTTTTTCCAAGGCCAAAGTCTTAATCTATGACAGGAAAGGATTACATTGGAGACAGAGCTGTGTATGTAATTCACAATAGCCGTGGCCTTTTTGGCAAGTGGGTCTAAAATCACAAGTGTGATCCTACTCGTCTTTATCTCAGGTTTTGTGGACGTCCACCCATTTCTCCCCGTCCTTCTCAGTTCTCCTTCATATCCCCATCTCTGCTATCCCTTAGTAGTCCTCTCCTGATCGTTTGTATTTCCCTCCATTGTTCTCCTCCTTTCTCTTCCCAGAGGAGCTTTATGGCTATGACAGTAAAAGCAGCTGTGGCACCAAAGTGTGGTGGTGCCACAGCACTCCCCTGTGTTTTCAAAGTGATTGTCATAAATGAGGCCCAGCAGACGTTTGACCGTTCAGAGAGCCTCAACATAACGGGAGTCTGTTGAGGAGAACTGCTCCTCTGTTGACTCGCTCCTCCACTGCCCTGACATAAGTAAACGTGAAGAGCAATGAGGAACAAGTGTAAAATCTTTATCACCCGTACTGAATGTAAGGGCAGTCTAGACACTAAGCGAAGACAAGAAAAGCCAGGCTGAGAACAATGTCTTCAACTGTAAAAATAAAAGAAGAAGGGCGAGGCATGGTAGGTACAGTTGAAGTCGGAAGTTTACATACACTTAGGTTGGAGTCATTAAAACTTGACAAATTTACAAATTTATTTTTAGCAAACTATAGTTTTGGCAAGTCGGTTAGGATATCTACTTTGTGCATGACACGTAATTTTTCCAACAATTGTTTACAGACAGATTATTTAATTTATAATTCACTGTATCACAATTCCAGTGGGTCAGAAGTTTCCATACACTAAATTGACTGTGCCGTTAAACAGCTTGGAAAATTCCAGAAAATGATGTCATGGCTTTAGAAGCTTCTGACAGGCTAATTGACATCATTTGAGTCAATTGGAGGTGTACCTGTGGATGTATTTCAAGGCCTACCTTCAAACTCAGTGCCTCTTTGCTTGACATCATGGGAAAATCAAAAGAAATCAACAAAGAGCTCAGAAAAAAAATTGTAGACCTCCACAAGTCTGGCTCATCCTTGGGAGCAATTTCCAAACGCCTGAAGGTACCACGTTCATCTGTAAAAAAAAATAACAATAGTACGCAAGTATAAACACCATGGGATCACGCAGCCGTCATACCGCTCAGGAAGGAGACGCATTCTGTCTCCTAGAGATGAACATACTTTGGTGCTAAAAGTGCAAATAAAATAAAATAAAATTGTATTGGCCACATGCGCCGAATACAACAGGTGCAGACATTACAGTGAAATGCCTACTTACAGCCCTTAACCAACAGTGCATTTATTTTTTTATAAAAA